TAGTAGAAAAACAAGTTAAACAGTTAGTGATTGAAATTCACAAATTTTATTTATTTGTTTCATTTATTTTCAAAAATTTTATTTATATGGTTTGGTTTTATTTATTTATTTTATTATTTATTTATTTTCATTGTTTTATCATTCATCTTAATACATACAAATTCTGTGTCACTATGTTCGTTTACGCTTATCTCAGAAGCCGCTTAACTGATTTTAACGAAATTTTGTGGGTGTGGTTCCAACTTAAAAGATAGGATAATTTTGAACCGGAGATAAAATATTTTTTTTTTCATCGAGCTTTTTTACGATTGTCGCAACGTTCGTAAAAATCCCGTGGTCTATGTTCGTTTACGCTAACTACAAACTGCCCATATCCGAAGAGGGAGTTTTCCAATGTTCGCGGCTACGTTTCATATGTATGTTTATATTGGGAAGAAATAGGTCGTATAGCAACAAAATAATGTAATATGTACGTATTTATACATATAAACATGCGCACATCAACAGTAACAAACATTTTACCGTTTGGACACCATCCAATGTTATCCATTCCCTGGCTTGAACCGTAACCAAAGATCGGGTTTTTTCCAAATGTAGTGAACAATAATAACAATCTTGTATAAATTTCGATATCAAATGAAACGTAAAAAACCATATGCGTCTTCACACCAAGCTCGATATTCGGTAACACGGTGTCCGGTAATTTTTTCTAATGTACTTTGTTTGTGTAAAATAGTGTTACACAAACAAGTTACCGATTACCAAGCTTCGATGTGAAGACCCATAATCTCAACGATGCATGTAACCTGCCTATGTATCGGTGCGTAGCAGGTGCGTAGTATAAAATTGTCGGTCGCTGGCAATACTGAAGCTTACGACGTCGTGAACTATAATTAAAAATGCCGAAAATGGTAGAAAACCAAGTTAATACAGTTAGTGAATGAGATAAATTATTTTTATTCACTTACTTTTGAATATTATATTTATTTTTATTTGTTTATTTCGTTATTTACTTATTTTCATTTATTTTATTACTAATTCTACTATAAAATTGTCGGTCCCTGGAAATACTGAAGCTTAGGCATCGTGATTTTACAAGGTGCTTGTAAGCAGAGCTCTATACAAATTTTTACTGTTCTTTTACGAGGCCTGTAAACTTTCTTGTATTACGAGGCTTTTACGACTTTGAAGGGAAACCCCTTCATAATGCCATTAATGAAATATAAAGAACCTCGTATATGAAAAAAACGCACCCTGAACATTTAACTATGAATATACTTTAACGTTTTTTAATTTTTGTGCTTGTGTTTTAAAAATTTCGGTGGAAAGGTGTAGATTTGATTGCAAAATAATCTCTTTTTTAAGCCGTGAAAAAGACACACATAAAACACATTATTTACTTTAATCCATGACTATTCAAAACGAAACTATAAAATTTTTGTATCTTTAGTTGTTTGTTGCCTCCTACCTAGTTGAAAAGGGGTACATTCAAGCAAAATGTTTGGAAATAACTTAAGCTTTATATTTACATAAATGGTTTAAATATAATTATTTTTTTTTTAACTAATTAAATTGATGGCGATAGTGTGGATAATTCGATAATTTATAAATGTATAACGTTTTTTTCTAAATCGGAAAATGACGCAATGACTGTTTCAAAATATTCGTCTTATATTGTACCGCAATTTTCGACCTCACACGTATAATCCTCCCACACCAACAAATATGCATAAGTATATACATACATATGTACATACAAATGTACATAAGTCGTTACTTTTTATATTTCATCAACATTCATACATAGTATGTATTTAGAATATACAATCTAAACGTAAATAAAACATAAATTTGTACATACATACACACATACATAGATTGAGTTTATATGTATTACTATACATAGCAATAATGGTTATTATACAATTACACACATATATACATACATTTAAAATTAACTATAATCATATTTATTTAGCTGGCATTATATAAAATTACATTAATTTACAGACTGTCAAGAATTATTCTTTGTTTCAGAGTCGAAAAAAGATCATTCGAAGAAATACTTAGCCTGTGGAATTTTTTCTGCAGTCGAATGAATTGCTTACTTTTATCCTTGTAATGGAACATAAATATTAAATAAATGATAATGATACGAATTGATTAATTGTTGTTATTAAATTCTTATTTTTATCCTTGATTAGTACTATAACCGCCTGGTCTTTCCAATGCAGATAAGGGCTCCCTCTTCCTCAGTTAACACCAGTGGCTATCGTATTATATCGAACACTTTTAGCGCTGGGGCTTTCGCATCCATTCGTATGAAATGGTCCAGCCAGCGTAGCCGATGTACAATATGATTATCTCTAGCTCCCTCGATCGCGCTCCTGTGTCATACATTAGGATAGGCATGGAGGGAGACTTATAAAAAGTGTTTATCGTTCATCGAAGGAGAACTTAGCTGCTCAATTTCCTTACACAGTGGTGTAGTGATTATGGTCGCTAACTCAAGAAAAATTAACTAGCAGGAGAAGGTTGGATGGTTTAGTTCCTATTACACTTAAAGGAGCAACTATTCAGATATTTACCTTTGTTGAGAAGATTCTACAAGAATGAGCTCGCTGAGGCTGAATCCTGGCTTAATTCCATTACTGAGCCCGGGGTCACACAATATAGAATCCTTACTGTTGGTTTAAAAACTGAGCCAGGACCTGGTGTCACTTCAATTCTTCACTTTTCACAATGGACTATGTTGAAATATGTGGAGAAGCTGGTTCGGCAATGCAAGTTTTAACAAAATTTTTGTAGACAAGGTAACGAAATTGTCTTACTCTAGGTGCCAAGTCACTCCTGAGTACCTGTCAATGAAGCATTTGACCATTTGGACAAAACGGGCTCTGACCACGTACTCCTCAGTCCGCAAACAGTTATAGTACTCCCACCTTCGGCCTACAATCAGGGTTACCACTGAAAAACTTTCTTTCCTACCAAGAACTAGTTCCAAAACCTACCAAATGGCTTCTTTCCTACCATTTCTTTGCATCAAGAAAACGGAATTTGACAGAGCTAAATACATTTATTTTTTTCGGGGTTTTGAGGTATCCACACACCTACGCGATTCTGTTGGTGCGAATCTGTTCCGACAAAAATTACAACAATGCCGACCATAGTTTTAAATGACGAACCACACACTTATACGATTTTGCTGCAGTTCTTTTCGTTGTGCCGAAATCGCAGACTGCCGCGTTTTGAGAACGAAAAAGGTGAATATAAGAATTTTACAATATTAAAACAATATTTAACGTGAGAAAATAAAACATATTTGATGTAAAAAAGTTAAGAATTTAATTTTTGTTGAAAAATACTTTTTGTTTGTCTATAAATTGACAGTTTTTGCTACGATAAAATCGCACAGGTGTGTCGGATACCTTTATACTTAATATAAGGTTTCCAAGTAAAAAAAAGGACAGAATAATAGCTATTGTGTACATATTGTGAGTGCTTTAACCAGACCCACCTGCCGATATGTATTTCGACCCGCTGAATCCGAATATGAGGTCCGCTTGACTTCTACACCCGCAAAATTTCGATTAATTTCCGAGAAACTGAAAAAAATTGCAAAAAATTTGCATAATTTATAGTTTTAATAAATTCTTTGATGTAAATGACGTGAAAAATCGTAGCAGAAAATAAAATTGCGTCGTTGATTTTTTATACATCGCTCATTTGCATACATATTTTATGAAATATATATATACATAAGTAAGTAAGGTAAAAAAAAACTCATGGTTGGGCTTGACAAATGTCCGGGTCTAAGAGCCTCTAGGCTTGGAGCCAAATCTGCGCGCTGCGGGTCAGCCATTAATTTCTTCAAGTTGCGGTTGAAAACTTTGAGATTCTCCGATTTACTGGACTAACAATAAGTTATTTTCTGTTTAATTTTCCTGTATGATAAAAAATAAATTTTCTGTAAACACGTACATTTATTATGTGGTATGCTTTTGAATCCCTCTTCTAGTGCCGTTTAAAATATTTTAACATCCTTGTCATTGTTGAATCTATTTGAGCAAAGAAACCTACCAAAATTTTAAGCATCCTACCATCATACCAACAATAAAAAAATCTATCAATTTTGATAGGAAAAGCCCAAAATAGCAACCCTGCCTACAATAGAAGTTGACGATTGGCGTAAGGGCGTGGAGTGGAAAGGGAACGCAACGCACGTCTAAAATGAACGAAGGTGTAGAGGCTGCAGTATATTGAACGGAAAGGGAACGCAACGCACGTCTACAAAGACGGTTCTAAAATCGACGATGGTGTAGGGGCTGCAGTATATTGCACCGAACAAATCGTAGGTTACGAAGCGGCAGGGATACTACATGAAGTTAACCCGCGAACAAATAAACATTTACATAGATAGTCACGCGACCATTTACGCTCTACTTTTATATGATACAAATACTATTACCGGCGTGGACTGTAAAACGGCTATAAGGATAGCTGTGGGTGAAACCGTCCACCTATATTGGATCCCAGGACAGAAGGGTGTAAAAGGTAATGAGAGAGCTAGCTAGCTAGCGACGTAGCAAAACCACTTGCATTAAACGTGGTCCTGCATGCATAGTGAACCGATGAATGTCGAATATGATTAGCTTCGACAGCGGAGAATTTTTGGGTAAGATGACGGGATGCTTTGCATCGTATGCGACATCCGCGGACTTCAGTCTACCCCCAACTCGAAGAATACCATTTGAGTCGAGAAACGGCTGCAAGCGCAACAGGCTACTGCGGAGCGGGATCGGCCTTTTCGCGCTGCAATTAAAAATTTCGATAGTAAAGAAAAAATGTTGGGTATACCTTATTAAACGGCGTTCAGCTTCAGCTATCTCAACACAGCTAGGAGGACCACATCGTTTTTCACCAGTGCGTTGAATACTAGAGTGGATATTGAGCAAAAAGCGTAAAACGTAAGCGATGATTCGCCGTAATTTGGAGTACGACTAGTATTTAGTCATCGACCAATGAATATCCGAGTTGGTGACATGAGCATGAACTTTCTTTCGTACACCCAATTCCGTTACGTGCGTTTTTGTTAAGCCTTGCTTCCAAAACTGGTTTGAACTACTCAGAAATTCTGGACCGTTCCACCATTGCTCATGGTGCAGAAGTTTCAGCAGAGTTATACCTCTTGAGGCGCAATCTGCTGGATTTCCTTCAGACCGTACGTGATTCCAGCATTCCGGAGGAAGAATCTCGTGGATATCAGCGACACGGTTTGCGACAAACGTTTCCCATCTGCTAGGGTGTACTTGCAACCACGCCAACGTAATAGTTGAGTCCGTCCAAGCAAATAACGGGTATCGTAGATCACCCCAACTATACAGCACACTTCTAACTAACTTAGCAGCGAGGTGAACAGCACACGGTTCCAGGTGCGGCAAAGATGTGGTTTTTATCGGTGCCACTTTGGTTTTGGACGAAATTATTGATACGGTGACCAGACCGTCGCTATGAACCGTGCGTGCGTACATCACTGCGGCGTAAGCGCGCTAGGAGGTATCCGCGAAAATGTGCAATTCAGTAAAGGATGCAGCCGTTCCACAACCGAGCCAGCGACTCACCTTCAAGTTTACTAGTTGCTGCAGCTGCTCGCGATGATCAAGCCAAAGATTTGCGATTGTGTCTGGTATCAAGTCATCCCATCCAACCTCAGCACGCCAAATGTTTTGGAACCACATTTTCGAGCATATTGTTACAGGAGCAAGTAAGCCCAGCGGATCAAAGAGAGTACTGGCATCTGACAAAAAGGCTCTCTTAGTCAAAATAGTTGGTGGCTTCTTTAGGTCGACTGCGAATGTAAAGTAATCGTCCACAATGTTCCAAGTGAGGCCTAACGAATGAACGTCCTTACCGTCGACTACGTAAAGGGATATAGTTTGAGATGATTTGGACATGCTTTCTCTCAATTCAGCGCAGTTAGATGCCCACTTCCGTAGTTTGAAGCCGCGTTCTTGAAGAATTTCGATCGGAGTTCTGACTTGCAAGAGGCGCCAGTTAGCAGGTCATCCATGTAAAAATCATTGAGGATTGCGTCAACCGCTTTCTTACAGCCATTAGTTGAGCACTTAGCAGTTTGTTGCAACGCTTTGACAGCTAAGTGAGACGCGGCGGCCACCCCATACGTTACGCGTAACATGCGGTAATCTCTCACGGGTGAAGATGGATCTGGACGCCAAACGATTCGTTGCAGATCGACGTGTTTCGACGAAACGCGGACCTGCCGATACATTTTAGCCACATCCGCGGTTACCGCGTAGCGATGAGTTCTGAAGCGCAGCAATATAGAATATAAATCTTGCTGTAACTGGGGTCCAACAAACAATGCGTCGTTCAGCGAGTTACCCGTGGTGGTTTTGGCGGACGCGTTGAAGACTACCCTCAGCTTGGTCGTAACGCTAGATTATTCAATAACTGGGTGGTGTGGCATATAATACATCTCGCTCGTCGCTTCAGACACCTCCTCCATGTGGCCAATGTCAATGAGCTCTCGCATGAACTCATCGTAGCGCAAACGCAAATCGTTGTTACTAGGGAGCCTTCGTTATATGCGTAGCAGGTTACGTATTGCGAAGATTCGTGACTCACCCAATACTATGTTAGGTTTAAGCGGTAGTTCAACCACAAAGCGACCATCCGGCATTCTTTGATGTGTGGAATTGAAGTGATTCTCGCAAAAGTTTTCCTCGTTCGTGAGATGCTGTTTCTGCGGCGAATCTTCGAGCTCCCATAACCTAGCGAGCGCTCGATCTAATTGCACATCGCAATGCAGCGATTGCAAACTAAGCGTTGGCGAAACGGAACTATAATCGTTTAAAAATAAAGTGCAGCCGATATTACCGCACTGATTCTTCCGAAAATCACCAACGATTTGCCGATGCAGACTCTGAATGTTTCCAGTTGGCCGCATATCCTAGGCTTATTCCTAGCTGATCCTCATTTCGCGAAACCTGGCCGCATAGACATACTCGTAGGCATGGATGTGATGGATCAACTAATCTGTACGGAGCTTCGGCGTGCCAGACGGACCTTTTCGAAGCTCCGTACAGATTAGTTGATCCATCACATCCATGCCTACGAGTATGTCTATGCGGCCAGGTTTCGCGAAATGAGGATCAGCTAGGAATAAGCCTAGGATATGCGGCCAACTGGAAACATTCAGAGTCTGCATCGGCAAATCGTTGGTGATTTTCGGAAGAATCAGTGCGGTAATATCNGTAGCGCAAAATTTAATGAAACGGTTGGGAGCGCTTCCAATTTGAAGGTGTACTTCCAAAACGCTTCTGGCATTCGTACTAAGTCTGAATTAGTTCGCAATTTTAGTTCTCAGCTCGACTATGACGTTTTTATCATTGTTGACACGTGGTTGACTTCAGTCTTTAATGATAATGAATTTTTCGACGCTAACCTTTATAATGTCTACCGAAAGGATAGAGACGCTGCGAAAACTGGATGTTTAAGAGGTGGAGGTGTCTTAATTGCAACTCGTCGCAATCTGCATTCGTATTTAGTTGCGCTTGATAATGATAATTCGCTTCTTGATCAGATCTGTGTATGTGTCACTGGCTCGTCGTTCAACGATTCCTTGTTCATCATGGCTTCCTACATTCCACCAAATAGTAAGGATGACCTTTATCATGCGCATGCTGATAATATCAACTCTCTAGTTTTGAACAAACTTGGTGACAGTCACTTATGCGTTTTAGGTAACTTTAATTTATGCAATGTGCGTTGGTCGGACACTTTTTCGAACTTCGGGCTCACTCCTAACAATATAACTACCTCGCATGAGTCATACCTCATCGATAGTTTTTTTAGTCTAAATCTTAAGCAAATTCATAAGTATGTTAACAAGTTAGATAGAATTCTAGATCTAATCTTCGTAAGAGACAATATAATCTGCAATATTGAGGAATGTTATTGTCCTATGTCTCAGTCTGACATGCATCATCTGCCACTAATACTGAAATTTGAATTGTATAAATTTTTAAAATCTGCTCCTGTTAAGCAGGTTATCTTCAATTACAAGTCTTGTGATTTCGGCAAGCTAAATAACTCGCTTTCCATGCTCAATTGGGATGAATTACTTTCAGTACAGGATGTTTCTACTTGCTATCATTCTTTTAAAACAATGTTAGTTGATTTATGTAGGGAAAATGTGCCTATTTTGAAAAATAACCACATAAGCTACCATGGTATAATCGGGAGTTAAAAAAGTTAAAGAACCTTAGGAATAAATTCTTCAAGAAGTTTAAAGTTACAGGAAATCAGATTTTCTTTGATAAATATCAGAAATATGCTAAAGATTTTAATTGCTTAGACAAATTCCTTTATAAAAACTATATTTTTGGGGTGGAGTTGAACATTAAATCTAATCNCTTTAATTGCTTACAAATTCCTTTATAAAAACTATATTTTTGGGGTGGAGTTGAGCATTAAATCTAATCCAAAAGCTTTTTGGCTTTCCATAAAGTCTAAGAAATGTGGCTCTTGCATTCCTTCGACTGTCTCTTTGGACGATAAATGTGCTAGTGGCCCTACTGAGGTGGCGAGTCTCTTCGCTGAATTTTTTAGTGCCAACTATGTCTATGATGATGGTAATTCCTGGCCTGCTATAAACCACGATTCAGCCACTGAGTTCAGCTTTGGGTCTCTAACTCTGTCACTTGATGACGTGGAAGCTGGCATTTCTAAGCTGAAACCGTCTACGAAAGCGAATGTTGATGCGTTGTCTGCCCTTCTCTTCAAGAACTGTCCCGGCCTAATTCTACCTCTACATCGTATTTTTAATTTGTCTCTTGCGTCGGGCGTCTTTATCGAGGAATGGAAAATTACTTCTATTAACCCTATGTTTAAGAGTGGGAATAAAAAATAATGTTCGCAATTACAGGCCCATTTCGAAACTATCAACTGTATCGAAGCTTTTTGAATCTATAGTCAAAGAAAAAATGCATTTTATCACTAAAAGTTTAATCCTGCCTAACCATACGTGACGTCTATCACAACATGATCAAGGGCTTGAAAGAATTTATGGCCCAATCAAGGCGGCGCCTACCCGCGATCTGCGAGCACGCCTATAAATCTTGAGGATTTGTGGCTTCCTTCCCCGCTTTCGCAGAAGGTTTTCCCAACTCTGCTTTGTAAAGATACCATTCAGCGATAAACGTGGCCCTGCGGTCTCTAATAAACAGCCATCGCCTAGGGTCAGAGACAGTGGCGGACCGTGAGCTCGATTTTTTTTTTTTTAAATAAGGATCAAAACTTTTGTACCCCCAAGTTTGATAGGCATTTTATTTTATTACACTATAGGGCAAAATAAACTTTTTTTCTGGTTATTGGACCAAGGCCATTTTTTATAAGAGATTGAGTTATAAGTAAAAAAGTAATTTCTCCGTTTTTCGAACTTAGCCTCCGAAATCGAGATATGGGCCTTCGAAGTTCGGAATAGGACCTTTGGTAAAAAATTATTTTTAAGTATTGCATGTAAATAACTAAAAAAGTAAAAGTATAGACGTAGTCCGCTGTTTTCTCTTATTTAAACGGTATACAACTTTTTTTCTGCAAACTTATATTATTATTACACAAAAATCAGTTCAACATTTTTTGAAATATAATTTTTTTTAATTTTTCGAAGATCAGATCCTTGACCCCTTATAGCACCTGTAACATAAAACAACACAAAAAAGTTTTGTTCGGTTTAAATAAGAGCAAAAGGCGGACCACAAGCATATTTTGACTTTTTTAGTTGTTTACATACAGTAATTAAAAATATTTTTTTACCAATGATCAAATTTCGAACTTGGAAAGGCCAATATCTCGATTGTGGTAGCTAACTTCGAAAAACGGAGAAATCAGTTTTTTAAATATGATTCAATCTCTTAAAAAAAGTTGTGTTGGGTTCGAATATACTAACTTTAAAGATTTAATGGTTGCAAGTATAACATAAGAGTTAATGTTCACGAACTTACAAGGGTTAACGTTAATTCACCACGAAGGAGTTAATAGCAAACGTCTTTTGACATTTCTTATTCTCTTTCGCTTATTGTTTTTCGGCTTTTGAATTCCTTCGTTAGCTTTTCTATCGCCTGCATATTTCGTTCGCCCGCTTAGAATCTCCGCATAAAAAGTGTAAAGTTTCTATTAACGAAATGTCATCTATCGAGACAACACAGCGCCTGTTGATCAAGTATGATTTAATCCACTTTAAAAAAAAACAGAATGGAAGCACAGATATGCTGACTTATGAAGTAAAATCGAATGAGAGACTCTATCAAAGGCTTTACTAAAGTCCGTATAAATACAGTCAACCAGGAAACCAGCAGAAAAAGACGTCGCACACTCCGAGGCCCAAAGATCGACTCGGATAACTATCTTGTTGCAGCCAAGATATGCACCCGCCTATATGCAGCAAAAAAAAATCAGCGCTCAAAAATGCAAGGAAAGCTAAACGTCGAAAGCTGCAACCAAAAAATAGGGCTAATGCATTCGCTAATCGGCTCTCACACCTGCTCTCAGAGTACACTCTTCAAAAAACCCACATATGCGAACCACATTTCCCGATCATTAAGTACAGCCGCCGAAGCAGTAGTCGGACTTCAGCGTACCCGAAGAAACAACTGATACGATGATGAGTGTCAAGACTGTAGAAAAAAGGACCGCTATAGGGAACTGAAGAGATGAGCGGGACGTATTGCCGCAATAAGAAGAGAGAGGTCGCAATACGGGAGTGCAAAGAGATTGAAATGCTGACCGAGAGGAAAGACGCCCGAAAATTTTACCAGAGAGTTAGGTGACTTACCGAAGGTTCCACGATCGGGGCGAACTGCTGTAAGAAAAATCATGGCGAACAAGTGACCTATGTCCAGAACGTACTTAAATTATGGATGGAACCATCCCACTGGAAGGTAGCAGCAGTAAAAGTAGTGAAAAAGACGAACCCGGATCCACATTCGATGATGATGGAGTCGGTGTCCCACCGTCTTACCATGGCGAGGAACGAAAAGCAATTATGCGGCGGAAAAACAACAAAGCTGGAGCTAACGGCCTGCCATCTGAACTATTTAAGTGCGGCGGCGAGAAGTTGATAAGGTGCATGCATCAATTCTTATGCAAAATATGGTCAGGTGAACGCGTCCCCGATGACTGGAATTTGAGTGTGCTCTGCCCAATCCATAAGAAAGGCGACGCCGCCATTCGTGCCAACTATCATGGTATCAGCCTTTTTAGCATAGG